GCATTAAAGCTGTGTGTGAGTGATTTGGCTACTGCCTAAATTAGTTTGCCCTGGAGCCATCCTTCCTCAGCTAAGATAAAAATGTGTGAGCCGGAGGCTAGAAAACTGTGAACTAGCTCACACTAACTCAGCTTAGAGGGAACACTGATGGTGACTAAAGGAAGTGTCCATATTCAGAGGCTGTCACTCTCTAAATACCAGTGCTAGGAAGCAAATGAGAGTGAAACCCTTGGCCTTTATGCCATGTTTGTTGGCTTTCCAGAGCAATTGGTTGGCTACCGTGTGAAACTGGTCTAGATGGACTACTGTGTTCCTGTGCTCCTGTTTTCTTAAGGGCTCAATAAACATACCTACCAGTGCTAGGAAGCAAATGAGAGTGAAGCCTTTATGCCATGTTTGTTGGCCCTCCAGAGAAATTGGTTGGCTAGCGTGTGAAACTGGTCTAGAGGACTACTGTGTTCCTGTGCTCCTGTGTTCTTAAGGGCTCAATAAACATACTTGCCCCATAGTGGCTGCTGCCACACGGATCTCTGTACTTGTAGGGTCCTTCCCATGTTTCAGGCCACAGTTACCTATGCTTCCTCCCCCCCCCCCCAATTGTCTGTCTTGCAGAGTTCGGAGCACAACGTCTCCCACGAAGCACTAGCAATAAAGAAGATGCTTGAAATGGGACTCATCAAGAACCTCACTTACTTCTGATGGGACGTGGACTGCAACTTCTGAGTTGACTGCTAGGCCAACAGGAGGTCCGCTGACATCCTTCCACCCACAGCTTTCCTTCCCCCTGCCTCTGACAGTGACTGCTGTGAAAATCTCACAACTTTGCTCTAAACTTCTGAGTTGACTGCTAGGCCAACAGGAGGTCCACCATGGCTGACATCCTTCCACCCACAGCTTTCTTTTCCCCTGCCTCTGACAGTGACTGCTGTGAAGATCTCACAACTTTGCTCTAGTGACATGCAGAACAGGGTGGAAAGCTGGGTCGGCAGCTAAGAACGGAAAGGATCCTGGAAAGTCGGACAATGGTAGTGGTAGAATTAGGTGATCTTGAGAGATTCTGCTATCTGTGGAGTCATCCTCTGTTGGACACTTGAGGGCTTTCCTCTGCGTTGAATGGAGGCTCTTGGGAGCCAAAGCTCCTGAAGTCTTCACTCCTGTGGCATGTATGCATCCTTTTGGGGGCCCGGCTTGGACCTGACTGTGGGCCTCTGGGGCAGTACAACAGAGACTTCCGTGGGATTTTCCTATCCCGGGACATGCTGCTACCTTAATCACTTTTGCCTTCCCACTCTGAGATGCAGTGGTGGCTGTTTACTAGGCTATTTAAGTTATAACTGTGTCAGGGTCTCTTGATGGAGCAGCAGGAGGCAACTGCAAGAGGATTATTGGCCGTCGGCCATCTTGTTCTCCCCCACCCCAGTTGAATCAAGATGTGATGAAACACAATGGCTCCCCCTGTGGTGGAAGAATCAGTGCTGTCCAGGAGAAAGCTGTTAGGGATGGGAATGGATGGTTTTGGTGTTGCCCACTTGTTTTCCCCCCAGCTATTATTTTTGAAGGATATAGCATACAGGGAGAACACCCTACAGTATTTTGATAGTGGTTTTTATACTAAAAACAATGAAGCTGGAATGAACATACTGGGTTCCTGGACTCTTGGCTTGAAAGAGAATCCCCCTTCTGTGAAGGGTGTGTGTGTGTCTGTATGCATGTGTGTGTGAGTGTGTATTTCTTTGTGTCCAGCCTAGTATCCCAAGTCTGTTCTTGGGAAGAACCTTCTAATTATAAGTTGTAGGATATTTTGTTTCTCCAGTATGTGGTAGCCACATCCCAGCAGGAATAGACTGCAGTAAGAAATGAGCGAAAAATAAACTGTCCTGGCCAAAGTTGAGACTTGAAGGAAGGGGGAAGACAAAGAAAATGTGGGTGTCTGTTGTGTGGAGAGAAGGAATACGTCACATGCGATTCCTCACGAACAGAACCGGAACTTGTACAGCACCTTGTCTGCCTTTTCCGCTAGGAAGAGGGATGTTTGGGTTACTCAAGACGAAGCCTCTTCTTGGGGGTCCTAAGAAATGGGGTGAATTTCAAAGTAAGCTGCTGCATTGCATGGGTGGGGGTGGTAGTCCAGACATTTCAGGAATGTGCCCTTGTTTGAACACATCCGTCTGGCGTGGGGCAGGAAATCCACGCTTTGGAAACAAGAGTCTCTCCAGTTAGTTTTTGTGCGGGGATGTTTTAAAAACTCTTTCTTCTTTTAAAATCTCAACTTTGCAATCAAAATTTATTTATTTCCCCTGATGTCAAAGGTACTAGTTTAAAGGGTTTGACATCTGCCACCTTTGGTTTTGTCCATGAGCAGGAAAAAAAAGAGGGAAATGGTGATTTACCTTCTCCCTCACCTTGCAATTACCAATGTGCCTTAGCCATGGGTGGAAGTGTCCAACTTCCAGGGGTCAGCTGGGGAATTTAATCTCTAGCGGCCGTTACATCCATTGCCAAGAAGCAGAGCGATTGGACTGGAGGAACCGCCCATGGTTTGGCCCCTGCAAACACCCAGGAGCGTTGGCAGTTGACTTGGGAGCTGATTTGTCACCAAAACCCAGACTGCTCATTGGAGGGAGGGGGAGGGACCATTTTTTTAATGAAACTATGTGTTCCGGGGGAAGGGGGAGGGGTTTGTATCCTGCAGGCAACATGGAAATGTCTTTCCTGACCAAGTGATAACTGCAGCTCAGTGTTAAGTATCAATAAATTTAATTTAAAACCAACGCATCATGAAGCATAAATGTTTTGTTATAGAACAAGGTCAATGCCTTTTTCTTTTTGCCTCGCCGTTTGAGTCACCCTGACCTGGATGGCCCAAGCAAACCCCGTCTCGGAAGCTAAGCAGAATCAACCCCAGTTAGTACTTGGATGGGAGACCACCAAGGGTTGCTATGCAGAGGCAGGCCATAGCAAACCACCTTTGTCCATCTCTTGCCTTGAGAACCCCTACGGGGCACCTTCAGTTGGCTCTGCAAGTTGATGACACTTTCCACCCACCAGTGCAGGCCAGTGGGGGCCATTTTTCTTCTGGTTCTTCTTCTGGTTTCGATGGAGCCCTTTTCTCAGCAAGTGAGAGAGGAGGGGCAATGCCATCCTCAATTATTTCCCAGCACCTGATAGGGAATCAGTGATAATCTGTGGCAGGCTTGGATCTCGTGTTAATTTTCTTTGTTCACGTCCGTAGAGAAGCAGCAAGTGGCAGAAGACGCCACAAGCCAATTCAACGCTGGAATGAAAAGACCTGATGGGGTCACAAGTGCTCTTTGTAGGAAACAAAACAGCAATAGATTTGAACCCATGGAGGAAGAACCACTAGAATATAGAAGGGAACCCAAAGATTAAGCAGAAAGAGGTGTGGGTCAACTGCGTAGGCACTGAAATGTATATACCCGGTGCCGGTGCCAGGTTTTCATGGGCCCTGGGCAACAGAGTATAACCAGGCCCCCTTTCACCTTTGGTTACAGCCCCTTTATCATCTAACCACACCCCCTTCCATTTGGCCCTTCCCCTTTGGCTCTACCTTTCTCATTTCAATTTGCTTATACTTTAATAAAGGGAAATCATATGAAACTTTGCTTTCACAGTTGTATAAAAGCAACATGATAAACCATCACCCTGTGGATGCAGCTATAAGTGCTTGGCTTTCAGTGGAAAAGAGGTTTAGTATATTGCGACACTGCATAGGTGACTGTGGAAAAAGAGCTGATGTGGTTTCCTAAGACGGGCGGGTCCCACAGTTTGTCCAGTGCAATATGTTTAAAATTCCACAGAAACAACCGGAGACACTTGGGGGGGAAAGAGCATTTTGTTCCCTCATCGTTCCCATTCTGATTCAGATTAAATTCGTATGACATTTGCAGCTTTGAAATAATTTCCACTTTATGATTAAGTTGGCTATTACTTTTCATAGGAAATACATCTGCCATTCTGCATCCAACCCTTACAAGCACACAGATTATCTTAATATTAACACTCTTCAAATAGCATTTTGTTCCCTCATCGTTCCCATTCTCATTCAGAACTTAAATTCGTATGACATTTACAGCTTTAAAATTATTTCCACTTTATGATTAAATTGGCTATTACTTTTCATAGTAAATACATCTGCCATTCTGCATCCAACCCTTACAAGCACACAAGTTATCTTAATATTAACACTCTTCAAATCAAAGAGAAAATCTTCAAAACCTAAATCCACTGCACTAATTACTTCAAACAAAAATATTTAGGTTTCTAGAACAGACAGCATGTGAAGAAGAGCACACTGCACGTGGACTCAGAACCCTAAATAAATTGAGGGCTGATTTTGTTTTGCAAAGCACAATCTTGTAAGTCTGCAATCCTTGAGTCTTGCTGCTTAAGGGGGAGTCATTAGAGAGACTTCAGGAGGGGGATTGTGGCGACTGGGTTGAATTGTTTTTTATTACCTCTTGCTTTTATGGCCCTTGGTCGGCAGGGAAGCTGAATCTCTGCCCAGCAGCTGGGGCTAAATAAATTGAGGGCTGATTTTGTTTTGTAAAGCGCAATCTTGTAAGTCTGCAAACCTGTGAGTCTTGCTGCTTAAGGGGGTGTCATTAGAGAGACTTCAGGAGGGGAATTGTGGTGACTGGGTTTAATTGTTTTTTATTACCTCTTGCTTTTATGGCCCTTGGTCTGCAGGGAAGCTGGATCTCTGCCCTGTCCAGCAGCTGGGGATTCTTGGTGAAGTCTGCAGTGGCAAATGGCAGTTGTTGTTAGTCTTTAAGGTACCACTGGGTTTTTGCTTTATACAAGAAACAATTATCTCACAGCTGGGGCATTAACTGTATTCCTATGAGTGGCCCTCTGAGGAGCCACCAGCCCACCTTGGAAACTGCTTACCCCATTTGTATATAGCCATCTCCTTTCTATTCTACCTTTCATCTTCAAGGAGCTCGGGCCAGCATGCGCGGTTCTTCTTCCGTTTTATCCTGACAACAACAAGGTGGGGTAGGCTAGGCTGCAACCAACCCATGAGGACTGCACAAGGGACTGCACAAGACAGCCCAAAACAGCTGAGCAGCAAGGAGCAAGCTGCTCCCTGCCTCTCAGCTGTTTGGGGGGTTTTCTGCAAACTGCATTTAAAGGGACTGTGGTCCCTTTCAACGGGGTCTGCAGGGCCATGAACCATTTCAGTTTGCTAACAAACCTGATTCGGTTTGTGGTTCGGTTCGGCCACGAATCACAAACTGAACCGCATTTTCCTGCTCTGTGCCCATCCCTAATGAGGAATTGTAGAAGGTGGAAATGGCTTTACGATGGCCACAACAGCCAGCCAATCGGCATTCTACACACCCTGGATGAGAAGGTGGCTGTGCAGTTGCCACAAGGGTCAGCCAGTCAGCATTCTGCACAGTCAGCTTCCTCAAATGGTTAAGTGATGGTTGCTCCTGAGGTCAGCCCAGTTTCGACAGTTTGGTGTCGGTTGGTCTTCTCTCCAAAAGGGTAAGTACAGATTCACAGCAGGTTAAAAACTATGTGTGTTGGTCTTTGTGGTGAGGCCCACAAAAAGAGGAAATAGCTAAGAGAATGACCATAAGTGGTATGTTAGCTCAGCTTTTCTCCACTCAGTTGTCCCAGTTCATAAACCGAGGAGGCATTCAGCTAAGCTTGAAAAGAGGCCCTTCATTGGTGATAGACCGGATGCAGGAACAGTTTTAATTATTTTTACAATACCGTGGCCCTATTTAAAACAAAAGATCCTTCCATGATAAC